AGCTGAGTGGATAAAGCGATGGCGTTTGAATTGAAAGGTACTAAGTTCGAGTCACAGAGTGAATATGAACTCTGAGATGCAGGTACATCCAGTTGATGAGTCTTAAATAGGACGAAACGTGCGTCAAATTGGATTCCATTGCTAGCTACTATCCATCTTTGCTTATAAAGATTTGATGTACTGTTTTAAACCTAGATAGCACCATAACTTATCATTTTGCCGATTGGATCAGATTTTGTCTACTGAATATACTTTAATTTGGAGAAAATCTCAGCATTGACTCCCTTACAGATAAGAGTTTCCGAATTGGTGATTTCACGAACTATGATGGTTTGCCTAAATAATTTACGTTATGCGTCCAGCTTTTCTAGTGATACATTTTGTCAAATTAAAGTTTAGTTCAATAAATCTTGTTGGTACCGACCACAGATCAAATTATTAGTAGTAATCAACACTACAATAAAAATAAATTGTAATTATGAAAAATGTCCTACTTTGTAAGGTGAAGAGTACCTTATTGGAGTCTACGTGATTATTGTGATCAGTTGTTGGGGGAGATGGGCAACATGACCCAAAATTGGTCACAATAGAGTAGATGTATGAACTCTGTCTTTCCTTTGTTCCTAAGTTTTAAAATTATTTCATACCTTTTCCCACTTATTCATTTTCTTTCCTCTCAACTCATATTCATTATGCTTAGTCTTTCTTACCGTTACTCACACTACTTCTGCTACACTGTTTTTCACCTCGATAATTTCTTTTTAGTGTGCTAACATTTTGAGCCGATGCACAAAAACATTTGACTTTGGATTACCTGCAACTGATTGATTGTCTAAAAATATGGAAATCTACAACTCAAATTTATTGGTGTTGAAAGATGTTCAAAATACACTTTTCTATCTATTCCTGTCATTGATAAAAATTAATTTCTTTGTAAGCCTCTTACAGATGAGGTTATCTTCAAAGTCGAAATCAATGATATACTTATTGCATACCCGATTAGTGTGTTGATTAGACGAAAGAAAACTTTCAACCAGGTATCTCTTCATTATCAGTATCAGTTCATTAATAGAAAGAACAAGATATCTTTAATCTTCATTGATTAAAGAAGAATGCAATAATTATGATGATAGTAGTAGTTGTTGTTGTAGCTGTTGTACCGATAGTAGTAGTAAAAGTAGTAATATTATTTCCTTAAAATTAAAGTATTGTTAAATTACTTGTCTTAAAACACGACCGAAATACGGTTCACACTTGTGAATGTAATTGGAATACTGATTCATTTTAGTTAAACCCTACCAAGTAACAGCGTTAAGTAATATTTAAAATGTTTTGATCTCGATGGTAAGATTAACCATATTCAATCAAATTATTTGTTAATGGATCCCATCGGCCAAGTGAAGCAACATACACACATGTTGGTGATTTTAAAGAGTTAGATTAGCAACTATACATCTATCATTGTCAGTTCATACAGTCACTGAAAATATCATTTTATATAAACATACAACTGGTTCATCTTCCTGATTCTTCTCTAACCAATCAACAGCCAGATCTCATAATATAAATAAATACCAGATAAGCTTTTGTCCGACATTTGAACAGATGATCACCATATCCAAGTCTGTCTCTAAGTTCATTGACCATTGTAATGTACATGTATATCTTTAATTTGTAATGAGTTCGATAGTTTAGACGGTTCAAATCTTCACTCCATCAGTTAGAACTTGGATAAATATAAATGAATAGTATGTCAACCTCCACTTAATCCATATAATTTGTAGCATGATGTGGGAAGCTAAAATTGAGCACTGAATCGAAACATTATCTTTATCGTTTATTTTGACAAGTCCAAATCACGATGTATTACACACACATATGTACACAGTGAATAAAATATTTTGGTTGAATCGAAATTCTGTTTTGCATACATTAACAATAATATTATCTATCAAGGTTACGAACAGATCTGACGATTTCTTCTGCAAAAATTTATCATATTCTTTTTAAATATGAGCTATTTCTTATCGTTCATAGTTAGTTAACTAATTAGCTGACCAGTTAAGCTAATGTTGACTGTCGTTTGAAGTTGACTGTCGCTGAATTTTGGTCGATTTCTTCTGTGTTTACGTGTGGTTCATTTTGTCGAAATCTTTTGAATTCCATTGTTTTTTTATTGTATGTATCTTCTTAAAGTTACTTTTCTTTTTACAATGGATCAGAGAATATCTAACCACTAATAATAATAATAATAATAATAATAATAATAATAATAATAATAATAATAATTATTATTATTATTATTATTATTATTATTATTATTATTATTATTATTGTTATACCTGGGTCACTATAAGTATGAGAAATACTGACTGTTTATTACAAATCTCATTTTTACGAGTCGACCTGTTTCGACTGATGGGAATAGTATTGCATTTTTAGTTTGCAACTCATTTATCACGTACACATTTTTGTACCGAACTTTGGATGATGTGAAGGTTAGTTATATCAGGTGACTGATTAAAGTGAAGTAGGTTGAGAATGTGAAGTGCTACAGTCACTATCTAATCTTATACACATATACACTTAATCTGTTTACTTTAAGTGTTATTTTGATTACTCAATCAGAACAGTTGAAGGAGTTTCAAAACTATTCGAGTCATTAACTGTTGATGCGTGTATCAGACTTTCAATTCTCCTTATTATTCGAAACTATTGATGATGATGTGTGTTTCAAATTGTTATATGTTGAGAAATAATATTTAAAATTTTGTTTTAGCGATTAAAAGTATTGAATGGAGTTGTCACAGTCGAACCCTGAACATTTGTCTCGTTTTTTTGTTAAATACTTCGATAGTGAAAGTGTACTGGAGAAAATTTACGATACATTCATTAATTTGTATGATAATATTAAAATAATATGGTAAATGAAACTAGTTAGAAAATCAATAAATCCAGATGAAACAATCATATCTGTTTAAGTTGTTTGAATTATAAACTAAGACAAAATAAAACAGAGGAGATGAGTCATAAAAAGAAATAAAGGTCATGCATAATAAAATTAAACATTGGGTTTGGCGGACATTTAGGTTGACGCTATTTCTATTTGTTTGTATCTTATACAGACATTTAAATATGACCTTGAATAAATAAAACGTTAAGTTGACACAATCAGTATTTAGACAAAACTTTGTGAGAAAGGTTTAAGTAAATAAATAAATCAAACAACCTAGTTGTTAGCAGAATAATAATGAAGTTTATACAATATGGATATTATGTAATCAAACAGTCCTCTCATGCTAAACTTTTTGAGATGATAAAATGATGTCTAACATAGTATATGTAGTGTAAAGTTAATTTTCATCACCAACTGGGATCGACCGAAGAACTAGGGATAGGGCACAAAAAGTTTGAAATTAAAACTAGATGAATAAAGTGTAACACCTGAATCTTTGATAGACGACTTGAATATTCGTCTAAATCAAGGTCTTGTTTATCGTATCGAAGCATAATTTTCTACACTCCATTGAATTACTAGTTCATGTCATTTATCTTGAAAACATTGAATGTGATTATATGGTGTCATGGAGATTGTTGAATTTAAAGTTTCACGTGATGGACCGACTGTGATTAGATAACCATTGACAACTAGATGTAAATGAACAGTGAGATCTACGACCATACAAGGGATAGGACCCAGAATATCCAGGCCTAACTTCGAGCACCTGATCTTCAGACCACTGAGTTAAGATTCAATAGTTCATATTTCTAACTTCAGTTAATTTGCGATATTTTGTGTCAATTATCCACTGCTATCGATGATATTTGTATCACATCTGAAGGTTGAACTTCATTAGTTACAGTTTTTCTCTAGAAAACCAGGAATTGCCTCTCGTAACTAGTTACTAATAAGTTAATAAGGAGAAATAATTGGTTCCCACGTCATTGGTCTGGAAGGTAAAAACCCACGACAGTTTTCAAATATCCTGGTTCTGATGCCCGATGTGGTCTAGGATGTGCACTGTTAATGATTTCCATATAAAGATGAAACAGCTACCCACTACTTCGTAATTTTCACTGGTTATTTAATTAAAATAAGTTAGTGACGTCAAACTATATACAGTGACCGTTTTGTTACAATCAACATTGTGAATTTTGTGAATGAAATATTAAGTAGGTAATTACAGTTACAATTACCTTTAGTCATACTCTTGATAACTCATGTCCTAATCATTTCATCAAATGAGCTAGTTGAGATACGTGTTACGTATGCTCAACCATCTCCTACTTTGACGGACGATGATAGTTGGTGAAGTAGTAAATTATAAGAAAGCTAGGGATGGTCAAACTAAGATGTGGCACCAGTTCATGAATTAATTGAAAACTGAACTATGCCATGCTAATAGTTGTACACTACCTGGTTGGAGTCCGTGTCCGTTATAGTAATCAATAGTTAGACTAAGTGGTACGGCTCAGAATCGATTGCAATGGCCCAGATGTGTACGCTCGTTGGTTTAATCTTGAACATGTGTCCTAAAATCACCTTACACCATATTTTTCTTTTTCGATGCCTAGTTTTTTTTTGCTACTACAACTAATATTGTGGCTACTTTTACCACTTTGGGATGTCTTAAAATAATCTTATCTCCCTGTTCTATTGTGATAAGACAATTTCAACCGATCAAATATTACGTTACATTCAATTAACTAATGAAACCATTTATATTTCTTCAGTCTAAACATTTCTGTTAATGTCCATGAATCTAGATTGGTGAGTATATCTCTAATGTGAAGTTGAAAATTGGTTAATAGTTTCGATCTTACAAAAGAAGTTCACTAATTATTAAGTCTTTTGAGTACATAGATAGGTTGTTAATTATTCTCAAAACGTATGTTATTCAATTCGACATTAACAATAACAACCTAGTGAGATTTTTTCCACATATTGTGTGTAAATGATCGCCTACCCCATAGTTCACATTTGCTTTCTAAATAGGTTATTTTCAGTAAAGATTCTAGATATGGTCGTTTCTATACTATAAAGTGTGTAATTAACTCAATTATATAAAAAAAAACTAATAGAATAATCACGTGTACTTACCAGCACACAACCATGCATAGTTAAATGTTCCAAGGTAACATTATTTCTTATTTCATAAACAGTACTATACAGTTTTGTTATTTATGACTGTGATGTCAGTTAATCAGGATAAACAAAAAACATATCAGAATAAGAAGGAATGAGATCACCAAGATTGTAAATAAAATGTTGATCATTTTTCATGACACTCTGTCCAAAAGTTGGATAGTTACAATAAGATTCAGTCTGTTTAACTATAGTTGTGTGTATGATACCAGATGATTCTTTGCTACTGTTTATCACAAGAATACCTAAAACTTTATCTAAAAAGAACAATTAACAAATCAATATATGGAATAATTCATTAGTATAATTTGAATCATTATTCACTTTATCATATTGTTTCACCTTTCATTTTTAAATGATAGTAACAGGAATAGTAAAATAAATGGTGATCTTGTTTACTAACTTGAAAGTTAATATTACATAATAAAGACGGTTATATCATTAAGTTGGGGTGAGCATTATTAATGCATGCAGTTTTAGTGCATTAGATTGTGAGAGATAACTGTCTGAACGATAGAATGTTGCTAAATCTTGATTTCGTGTTGGTTTACTCCAAAGTGTTTGTAATCATTAAGATAATCTTGATGATCTATTCAATCAACTCTAAGAATCAAACAAAACGGTTATTTCTCAATGGTAATCGATGTAAATGTTCATTAGTTTAATAAATGTATCTACGTTGATTAGATTTTTATTAATGTTTTACACAATCACAATATTCATTACAACTTTGTAAAAACCATACATTCAGTCTGTTTCCATCCCATTATCATATAACAATCTTGATGTTGAAATAAAGTCAACGATCGAATAAACTCTATTACTTTTGTACAGAGTCCAATAGATTTTCTGCTGCAGTTTTTTCTTTCTTGGTTGACAATAACAGAAATCCGTGACTGTTAGAAAACTTAAAAATCATTCGAAATCCGGGCTCATTAGTTTAGAAGTTAAGTATTCGTGCTAGAGACCGAAGGTCCTGGGTTCGATTCCAGGTTACGAGATTATGGGTGAGCACTGGTGAGGAGTTTCACACTAAGAAGAAACGGTTTTCAGTGATTTTCTAACATTGATAGGTTCATGATCTCACCAAAATTCAATAATCTCCGCAACCTGAAATGCTATTCTGTTTGTCGAACTTGCTTTCCGAAAATAAACCATCTTTAACTGTTATTAATTTGTGTGGCGTATGCTTAATAACTACCTGCCTCAATGTGTGATATTGGCTACGATGTTGAGTGTGGAGTTAGAATAAATCTGTGAGTGGTAAGACTAATATGTGTAGTCAGTTCATTAGGTCAGTGATTGTAAGACTGAGCAGTGTAGGTAGGTACAGATTACCTGGTTGGGGTTAGACATTTTGAATGATATGAGTCAGAATTAGTCGGAATGGAAAATGTGCATTCACTTGGATTCTTTTCTTGGATTTTGAGTTTTAAGATTATCTAATGCCTTCTTTCTCCTCGAATCATACTGTAGTGTAGTGTTTTCTAATACAGTTGATATTGTTACTCCTTCTACTAATCTGACGTTTGTTTTGATAATTTAGTATCACTGTACTGATGCCATGTGACAACCGATGTTTGAATGTACCAGATCTCACACTACTTATGATTAACTGACTGAATAATGCTAACCAGTTAGTCATAAATTAATGTATGGCCGTATGAAATTGTCATCACTTTACATCAGGAAATTCAGAGAAAAAATGCATGCGATGAAAAGTAAATAATTCAAAATATTCGTAGTAATTATATTATTGATCAGAAGGGGTTTTTGTGGATATTTCAATATTTTCATAGTTGAAATCATGAGTCAATTGAAGCTAGACCACCATGGAAAACCTGGAAGCACTGGACGGCGTTTCGTCCTATTACGAAACTCCTCAGCAGTGCGCATCCACGATCCTGCCTCCCGAGATTCGAACCCAGAACCTATCAGTCTCGCGCTAGAACACTTAACCGATGAATTCAACTATATAAAATTACTAAAATCTCCACAAAAAATCAGAAATGGGAAATATTAGTTTTAATAGGATGAATAAAGTAGGCACACAGAGAGGAAGACATTTTTGACTGAAGTGATTTAGATTTCAGAATGACACTAACCCCTTCCTACTTTGAAATTATTGCCAATTGGCTCGAAGTGTAATCTTAGCTTTTCAGGAAATGAAAAAAAATGAATGTCAATTTTCAATCGAATGACTGCAAATCAACGATAATTTAATGGATTTATTCACCCTAAAGTAAATATGCAAACACACTGAATAATATTTAGATTGAATTCACTTAGTATTGTTTGTTTGGATCTTCCCATCGATGTGTTTAGGACTGCAACTGGTCAGTCTCTAATTGGCATATGTGCATACTGTGCGTATTGCCTCGATATACCTTAATTCACAAGCATGGTAATATTTAGATTATTTATATAAGTTTATTGATATATGCATACCCACACCCCCAATAGAGGTCATGATTATGAAATTATAAAGTTGCGGATAATCAATAATAGATATATTATATTTATTTATTTTTCCAAATGTCAATCTAAAAGTTGTCACTATGACATGTACGTACATATGTGGCGACGTATGTATGTTATATGTATGTACGTATGTGTATGTAAAGACACCATGTCTTTGATAAAAAGTCATTACTGTTGATAATTTGTAGAGGTTTATTATCATCATGAACTAACATCGAAAAAGGCTACTGATCCATTGCATCATACTAATTTGAAGCTATCTCAACAGTATTGGCTGATTACTTCTGCAAAGGAATAGAATTAGAAACTCTCGTAACCTGTGGCAATCACGTAGCGGCTATCATTCCTTTTCAGCTAGAGTTTATAATCACGCAGGATTTACGAATTGTCGATAACTAACATAAATTCAATTGACTTCTTAGTTTTGTCGTCATCAGCATAGAGGGCTTGTGTAGACTGTTGAATTTTCATAGTTCACATCACGGAATGACATTAGTTTGACAAACATGGAAGACCAGAACTCTTTGGATATGTCTCGTCCTGATACGGGACCCTATCGTAGCTGCTACCTTGAAGTGGTGGTCTGGCTTACCTATCGTGATGACCTAACAGAGCTATATTGGCTGGAACATATGTTCCTGTAGACTCTACCATACCAGGCAGGTCAATTGGAGAACGGTAAGACTAAAAGCAGCAACTCAAGGTCTGAAGGCGAAGTCGTACGGCTTATTGTAGAGGGGTGTGACGGCAGTGAGGTGTTTCCCTCGGACAACCGGCATCCGCAGCAACACTGCCTTCTCACAAGGAAGGAAGGGGTTAGAAAAGGTCGGCCCTAAAAATGTTACACCTTACCTCACGGATTTCTGTCTCCATCGGTAAGGCCCTTTGAAGAACGGAGCTAATACGCCAACAACCTCCCACAAAAATGTCGTGCCTGACCAGCCTCAATCAGTTGTCCCTTGGGCTCTGAGGTCACGCTACCAGGTCGTTAAAACCAACATTAATCCAACTTCCTTTTCAGGTCCCTTGACAGTAGGTTGGAAGAAAGCTAGGGGTGTCTAGACCAAAACGTGGCACAAATCCATGAAGTCACTGACAAGTGGACTGAGTCATGTTGGTAGGTGTAGACGACCTGGTTGGGATCAGTGAGATAATAGCAATGGATGGTTAGATCTTGAATGACATGGCTCAAAACCATTTGCAATGGCGAAGATGCATCTACTCTTTGTGTTCTCCCAAATTCTAATCTTTTAAATTTTTTATGTCCCTATCTGTTTTCTCTTTCCAAGTTTATTTCACTGTATTATACCCCTTGAATAACATCCTCAAATCCTAATCTTTCGGATTGCTGCTTATACTCTTACTACTTCTACCACTATGGGATCTGAATCGACAACTGTATCTCTGTGTTAATGTGGTATGGCAACTCGAACGCATGTACATACGTACGAAGTTCTACGTTGTGACTGACTGATACGGGAGACCTTAGCTGTACATATCCGCTATCCCGGCTGGGATTCAACCCAAGACCTTCAGGTCTATCATGTCGAATGTGAGGAAGTTCCCCGCCAACGGCATTGGGAGATCCTTAAATAACACCTCAAATTAATGGATGTTAGAAATTAGACCACTGCATGATGACTCAGTGGTATAAATGTTGAGCTAACTCTGCAAAATCCATGGTAGCCTCATCCATGTGCACAACTGAGGAGTCTCATGCTAGGGTGAATCAACTATTCAGTGCTTCCTGATTTCTAATGGTAGTCTTTTTGAAATTAGTTCGTGATGTGAAATATTAAGTTTCAGTCAGTGAATCAATCCAGATTAACAAAAGTGATATATGTATGTAGTGCACAATTGATCTGTGTTGGTGTGTATCATCTAGATTATATTTAGGAAAGTATGAACAACTTTCATCGTCCGAAATTTCAAGCTTGAGGTTGCCGGTAATTGACGTTTTAATGCTTCATTAGTTATCACATTCCATATGAAGTTAAATTTATTCTTACAGAATAACATAAATTAATAACTAGTTATTATGTAACTTATTATTATTTCTTTATCTATGCGTATCCATTCTTATTTATTTTGTGTGTAGATTATCGTCCCCGTCAAAAAATTCTTATTTGTGGATTACCAGATGATATATCCCCTTGTTTAGATTATGCAATGATAGCGAAACCTGGAATGATTGACTACTCATCTCTAATTATTGCCAGTACTGATGTAAGTTTACATAATTAATAAAATGCGTATATTGCTGAGTTTATTTATGAGTGATAATTTGTCGATAATGATTGGTGTGAAGTTTTCAAGATATTTTCACATTATTGTCATTATGATTTAAATAACCGTTAAGATAGTCGACCTAGAACTATTGAAATCGATTTATGATTGAAATGGAACACTTGCCATCCTGTATCACAAGTTCGAACTATTCAGACATTATTAGTTCCTTGAATATTACACTTATACCTTTCTAACAAGTGTCAACTAACACGAAACTTAAACACAATTTCCCGCCGACTACTTCCAACCAACTAACGGGTCAGTTCTATGTGTATCTTCTGTATATTATTACTAATCTTCATCAACTGAAGTATGATTTGTGGCTTTTATTATTTATTCATACGGCGCATTAATTCCAAGTTGACTATTCCAGTTGTCATATCCCATTAACACACAGAGATCAAAATGTCAGGTCGAATTCTAAAATAGTGGAGGTAATAACAGTATCAATGGAAATAGAAAAGATTGTGCATCGAAGATACGACTCGAAAAGAAAATATCAATTATTGAAATAAAAACACAAAAAGTTATGGTGAATCCATAAGCTCAGAGTTGCAGGAAAGACATAGAATGCATCCACCTGCACCACTGAGAACGATTTTGAACCATGTCATTGAAAGCCTCTGACCACTGGTTATGATAATGAGGTGGGCCCCAACCAGATAGTATACTGCTAGTATCATTACTCAATTCAACTGTCATTGACTTGATGGACTAATGTCGTGCTTTAGTTTGGCTGCCTCTGATTTCCTTACAGTTTACTTCTACACTAAATAACACCACTCATTGAAGTAGACGGTGGTTGGGCACACGTAACACACATCTCAATCAGCTCAGGTGGTGAGGTTCTACTACCTTATTAGTCGACTTGTTATTCTTACCTAATACCCTATTCCTAACCCAGTCATTGTTTACTCCATGGTCCAAAAATACATGATCAATGCTTCGAAGAAAGCTATTATCTTATGCTAGTAACCTATAAATACCCACTATGTTTAATGACCATGTTTCACGTCCCTAAATTAGAACGGATCAAACCGCTGTGCAGTAAATACACCATTTGGATGTCAGACGGATATCTTGCCTACTCCACAAGTGACCCAAGTTATCAAAAGTCAGTCGAATCTTTTTAAACCGTGCCAAGATTTCGTCAGACTTTCAAACTCATGTAGTTGTAGACTTAACATATAAAATCATAACTCCCTAAAGCTATACATATTATATACTCAACTGACTGATCTACACGTAATCAATAACAATGTAGTTTATTAGTCTTTGAGAGTAACAGTACAATCTTAATGAAATTCACTTCGCATCTAATGCTATCAAAGGAGGTTCACTTTATCCAACTGTAGAGATATCCTGTAATGATTTATTTTTGTTCAAATAATTTACAATGAAATTTTTCCTTACAATAAATGTAACACCATTGGAAATTCAAAATTTATCCAATATTATGTACTTAGATTGTATGATCAGTGAATTCAACAAACTATGAGGCAAATGACGCTTGATATTTATCTAACTTTATGCATTCTAATGCATTTAACATCACGTGGCTAACTATCAGATAGGTACTGACACTTATGTATAGATCTAAGAGGAGTTGCATCACGATTTACAGTCACGTTTTCACTTTTCTAGTTGTATTTTTTTTCCACATATATATCACTGACAAATTTGTACTGAATAAACTCATGAATGGTGTGAAAGATATAACAAAATTAAATAAAAATTTGTCAGAAAAAAAGGTAATTAAATAATACACCAATGTATATCATCATTGCCACCAACACATGGAGAAACAAATCATGTAAATGAATGATTACCAATTAGTTTCTAAGTATGTATAGATGCATGTAGGTGCGTAATCAGGCAGGTAGGTAGATACATCAATAGATTGGTTTCTTTATGCATTCCACAAATCAACTCTATTTTGAATTGATATTTCAAACTTCTCTCAACATCTGAAACATGTGTAACTTATATATGACCAATACATTATTGATTAGAGACATGAGTATAGTCAGACAGATCAAATCGATTTAGAAACGATACAACTTTTTCTGTTGTAAGAAAAAGATCTATTGATAGGCTATGATGAATCGAAAATCAGGTATTTTATCGTTCTACTTTAGAATTTTTCATCAAGGTGTATGAACACAATTTTGGTGAAGTTTCAGTCTCTGAGTTTTATGGTTTAATTGTTAAGCTTTTTCATTGACTCATTTAAAAGAATTATAAATAACTATGAAGTCAAATGAGGAGGAAACAATGAAAATTAATATGCAGATAATGACAAGTGACAACAACTAATCAAATATAATGTTAGTAAAATGAGTTTTTGTTATATTAGTATAGGTAATTTGTGGAGATTGTAGTATTTCCACCGTTATAATCACTCACTGATCTTAGCCCGTTTTATCCTAGTATGAGACTCTTCGTCAGCAGTGTGCATCCTTGACTCCGTACGTGGGAATCAAACTCTTAACCATTAGACCACTGAGCTGGCATCCAATGATGCTAATGTCGAACTTCAAATAACTCACTTCTATCTAAAGTTTGTGTTAATGGTATTGTTTAAGAAGACAATGAAGGCTTTACGGTCAAGCCACCGAGCTAAGACAGCATAACACCAACACCAAAATCATCCAACTGATCTGAGAATGTCCTACATTATATTTGAATTTACAGAAATAAGGAATTAAACTGTTAAGTGCGAATTCAGTGATTGATTTAAATAAATTTTATGGTATTGGTACAAACATTATTCTATGTTATTGTGTCAAGTAACTGCGCTTCATTTTTGACTTGAGTTCTTACACAAAGATGATAACTTTGTCATCAGGTGAAGGAGAACACACAACATAAAAGCTCGCGGGCACTAGTAAATAGTAGACGATTTTTATTTAAAATTTAATGTAATCCTGTGAGAAATTAGTTTTAATCAAACATTGATAAGAGTGTTAATTAACTTCAGAGTTCGATATGTCTTATCAACCATGACAATGGATAACTAACATTCGTGTTATATTCGATTATATTAAACTAACTGCGTGTTTTATAATTTGCGTTAGAGGCTGACATTACTTAAATGTTACCACTGGAAGCTAGGAAGCACTGCATGGGTGTTTTGTCCTGATATGGGACTTCTTGATTGTGTACAACTACGACTACACTGAGGATTGAACTCAGGACCTTCAGGTCTCGATGTGAACCCCTAACCTTCAGGACATTGAGTTAACATTCAATCAAAACCATACTTCTCTGTTCTGGTTTTGGTTCGCATTGGGAGTCTCATAAGAAGACAAAACGGCTGTGAGATACATCCTGATTTGTAACGGTTGTCTAACTAAGATATATCCGTTATAAAAACTATAAGATTCAATAATCTCCAAGATCCTTTCACTAAACTGCCATGATAAAAAAAAGTAATACTCAATATTATTGTGTAAGTTAATACAGTTCATGATAAATCGATCAAAAAAGTAATATTTTAATTATTAGAAGGGGTTTTTGTGGAGATTTGGTATGTTTCATAGATGAAAGCATGAGTCAATTGAAGCTAGACCACCGAGGAAAACCTGGAAACACTGGACGGCCGTTTCGTCCTATTATGGGACTCCTCAGCAGTGCGCATCCACGAACCCGCTCTCGCGAGCGAGATTCGAACCCAGGACCTACCAGTTACGAGCCAGAGCCCTTAACCGATAGACCACTGAGCTGGCATCCAACGGTGTAGTGGAAGTACATCCAGGAGCTCTAGTGAGAAGCAGTGACCAGTGGAGTGCAAACCACGTCTGTCGTGAGATAGGAACTCACTGATGACAATTGGTGAATGGTTGCTCAACTTCGTGGATCAGTTGAAGTTAGACATTAACACCGTTGGATGCCAGCTCAGTGGTCTATCGGTTAAGGGCTCTGGCTCGTAACTGGTAGGTCCTGGGTTCGAATCTCGCTCGCGAGAGCGGGTTCGTGGATGCGCACTGCTGAGGAGTCCCATAATAGGACGAAACGGCCGTCCAGTGTTTCCAGGTTTTCTTCGGTGGTCTAGCTTCAATTGACTCATGCTTTCATCTATGAAATATTTTAATTACTGAATTCAGTCTTATTGAAAGATTTTCATCAATAAAAAGAGTAACTATTTATCTGTCTATCTGTCAAGGTATCGGTTCAAGGTGTCTATATATACCAACAATGTTTGATACAATATGATTAGGCTATTTAAATCTTGGTCTATTTGGAGTTATTTGAAAAAGAAAACAATTTAACGAAATATATCAAATAGATAACGATAATCGTTATTGAATAACAAAACATATATCATTTTGTATTAATCTCATAAGTATTTCGCTTAGAATAAAAAAAATAATGACACCATGTGAAAATGCAAATTTTTTAAATATATACAATATATAATCTATCAGGTCACTCATATGACTATCTCATCATTAAATACATTTAGATAATATAATCATACGAAAATATACCTATTAGACATAAGTAAGTATTTATGTTAAGACAGAAAGTGAACTGTTGTTAGGATACAAAACGATATGATGACATTTACACCATCTAGTCAAATGCCCTGGTACGACCGAGGGTGTAGAGAGTCCGCTCTCCCTCTTGAAATGCTCTCACATGGCTATGCTTATACAACCACTGTCAGGGAAGTCTTACTCACTGCTTTCTCCTGGCATTACTGTTGTTTATGAAATTGAAAGGACAAAAGGCGAATGTCCGGCGCTTTAACCGGATTAATGGACACGGAGGGTTCACCTAGGGGAGTTGAAAAACCCTGATTCCAAACCAATGGTACACATGGGCTCCAGTATTCTGAGGGAACAAATGGCATATGAATCAATCGTCGGTCACCGGCTACCATGGGACTGCATCTCCTAACGTTGCTCCACTGCCTTTTGGATAAGACCTTTATGTCAAGGGCTCCGGGTGTGGCCCCCTAAGAAAACCACCTACTTCGGTTTGAGCACCCGGGTAGTATCACAGCTCACACACAAATCAAGTGGCTTGTGTGGTGCATATGTATTCGGTGCCCCTTTGTACCAATATTTATGTGTTCAGATAAATAAATAAATATAGATCTAAAATCAAATGATTTCTAATCCCTTCTACTTAATACCGTGATTTATTTCATTATTTTTTACTACGTTAAATAACTATTTCGTTCGAAGATTCCAGACAGTCCCATAGATATTTATTACAGTAAACATATTGAGCATTAGTCTTGCGTAGAAATAATTTATTCCTGTATATTTGTAATTGGACAATTAGTGAATAATTCTCAACTGTTTTATCGGTATGATGTTGAATCATCCATTGGATAACAGTTGGAGTAACATTCTATTCTTGAAGTACGTTGTGATGCAATTTCCTTTTTTGGGAACAGATTGTGCGAGAATATGTCATAGTAAGAAAACCCGGCCATAATCTTGATGTAAATCTAAGATTAATTGTCAGTTTCATTGTGACCAATAATCATTATACCGATGAAATCTCTTAGTAATAGTAGTTAGATAATTTTTATGATAAAAAAATACTCTAATAACAAGATTTTTTTCATAAATTCATTTGTGAACGAAAATGAAAAACTGTTGTATAGTTCTAACAATAGATAAATGTAACTCTTTATAGAAATACAATCTCTTCTATTCTATTTGAAATATTACATGAATATGTTATGTCCTATAGCCCCTTCAAAATATCATGTGACAAGATTGTTAATCAGAATGCCAACTCTTACGATCTTAGCCCTATGCCAAACTAATAACTCATTAACCAGCACGAGCAGCCCAGAGTCAACTCTGAGTCTCTATTGATTCTTCTTGCCTTGTCCTGTCCGTTGAGTTCAGAACACAAAATCAACTTCTACTGTATGAATCATATAAATCAGACATACGCAGTTTATATGCAAGCAAATCAGACCTAATCACACCATAAAATAAAAAAATGACAGTTATACAAAATCAAATCAAAAGTGTCTGAGTGTGAGAGGCTAACTAATAGGTTGGGAATAAGTTAAAGATGGTAAATTGTATCGCAATAGCCAATAAGTAAAGTGAAATGAACACGGATATTTATATCTATCTATCTATCTATCTATCTATCTATCTATCTATCTATCTATCTATCTATCTATCTATCTATCTATCTATCTATCTATCTATCTATCTATCTATCTATCTATTCTCTCATCCTGTTTATCTGAACAAGATTATAATGATTTGTAGAAATTTCATTATGATAAATACCTATATTTCCATACATTTCTCAAAAAACCCATGTGATTTGAACTTTTTCAAGAGGCGAGAACACAGTGATAGAGTGAGTGGTACACATTAAATATTTAGGTTATAATGTAAATATACATAGATTATTATAAGTAAAGTACGTGATTACACAAATATCAATGTTTTTTTTCTTTATTCTAATTAAATCATGAATCTGTAAATGGATTGTGTTTGGGTATTTTAACAAAATTCATTGTATTCATTTTCATGTTTGTGACTAAGAGTGATATATATATATTTTTATCATGATCCAGTGTTCTGCCAACAATTACTACTGAAATTGTAATAAGTAGTTATTTAAATGTTAGTTTCTAGGTTGTGGGGAGTGAGGACGATAATAGTTTATCGCTAATATACTGAGTTGAGTTAAAAAAAATCAGTATATTCCACTATGTCTTGACCGAATTTCATCCTCATTCTTAGATGGAAGTGTTCATTTTAGTGTTATTGAGTTGTCTAACATAAGTAGTTTAATTGAGGAACTTTCTTTACCGTTTTCAACATAATCGGGGTTTACTTCATGTAAAAGTGAACTTCTTCAGTAGGTACTAAAAAAATCAGTCACAAAGAAAACTATCGGAACGAACTAATTTAACCCTTTTGAAATAACTAAGATGATCACTTCCATAGGAAGTAGATACCGATAATGTTATTCAGAATGACAATAAAATCTTCGTAATTAATTCATCTAGCTCATAGAAACTGAATAACGTCAAAAGTATCCAAACGAGATGCAAATTGTTTTCACCAACTTAGATATCTTCATTTCTATCTATTCAGAAGGGTGGATTAGTGGTTTAAGCTTAACTGTCTATTCGCTATTTGGTTGTCATTACAAACACGAACCCATCTGACTTTGTAAGCAATGATAGATGGTGACTAGCAGTGAAATCCATGACGTGAGTTTCGTCCTATTTGGAACTCGTCAGATGAACCTACCTGCATCTGAGTTAATGTTCACTTCATGACTCGAACCCAGTATCGTTCGCTGCAAACACCACCACCTTATCTACGTAGTTTATGAGTCCAGATAGTCACTAGCTTGTGCAGTGGGGTGAGGTTTTAATTCACTTTTCTATTGTTTGTTTGAATATTCCGATTAATGTCTAGGACTACAAGTGATCAGTCTCTTATTGGCATATATGCATCCTGTACGGATTGCCTTTGGTTTGGTCAAGCATAAATAAATCAACTTTTAGTTACCTATGTTAGTTATATTGAAACTCTGAAACGAACTATTTTCTTTTTGTGACAAAATTATCATTGGATAGTAGCCAACACTAATTCAGAGCCACGAATCGAACGTCTATTAAAGTTAATTGATATTATATTTTTCGAACTATATTCTTCAATATTTTAAGTCTTGACTGGTAGTAATTTATACATTTATCAATAATTTTAAATCAGTGTGACTAATAATGAACATAATTATTGAGATAAAGGTAGCATAGACTGTAGAAAACCATGATTGATTGAACTATTCATTAATTTAAACATCCTCTTGACTACTTTTTTTTCAGTATAAATACTTGTTAGATTTTATAGTTTACATCATGCACTAGGTTTAGTTAGATAACCGTTGGAAACCAAGAAGTACTAGACAAGTGAAAGTTATCGCCAGATCATAGATTCACAACTTCATAGGGGATTGAACTTGAGACCTTTAGATCTCACTACAAGAAATTACTCGTAATGTAAACTATAATATTTAACAATCTTCACACTTTATCTCCCCTCCCTGAACCATTACTTATTAGACTGTTATTTAATTTTACACCTAGAGAATTATGGTCTATTTTGGTATTAGTATTACTCTAGTAATAGACCTAATCCTAACATTGTAGATTCGTGATGATGTGACTACTTAATCCATAAGATCTTACGTGGAAGTCACATCATTGTCTACACTGACTAGTCCTACTTGATAATCAGTAATATGCCATCTAACACTTGTTTCAGATAATTCTTCACCTTCCTTATTTATTTTTTGTTATTCTCTATGTAGGTTGATGAATTAATTGTAAATTATTTTGGAAAAATTAAAATTCATCTTGTCAATTGGGATGAAACAGACTATGAAGAGATGCTAATTGAACGTGTACGACCGAGATCAGATAATTTTGTGATTCCGTTAATAATTGAATTTCAACCAACTATTAGACGAATGAAACGAATTAGAGAATTATTAGAAAAGGTAAGAAATAATAATGAATATGATAGATAATGGAGTTTTTTAAGATTGCATACTTTCTCTCCGTGTGTATATATACATGTGTTCCATGATTTTGATTAACCAAACTTGATAACGGTTTTGGTGTTTTGTGTTCATACGAGTAGTTCAATAAGAGATAATGTAGTTTTGTTCTCTGAGCTGGATGGTTCGGTCGTGGAGCTTTCGTCGTCCCTCTGAACGACATCATCAGCACATACCTGAAGTTTGTGCTGATGATGTCGCTCAGAAGGACGACGAAAGCCCCACGACCAAACCATCCAGTTCAGAGAACAAAACTCCATCAAAATCACCCACCTGAGCCACAAAACTTCTCCATCATCTCAATAAGAGATAAGTTTAAATAGAGGGTTTTTCTCCGTGAATTACATTGATAACATGAATTTTTGTCTAAATAAAAATATCAGGATAATCATGTTAAGATGTACATATGCTAAGAGCAGCTGATCAATTGGAATCTTTAATATTAACGATGAGAAAATACCAAATTTTTTTTACCAATTCAATGAATACTGATCTTAGAAATTAATGATTGTTTTAGTTGAATAGTTTCATAGATAACACATTTGACATTTGGTTCAAATTCAAATGCGTGACCACTATTATATTAGACTGTAGGTACATTCAACTAATAAGTTTCAAGCAAGACGAAGTGTATATCCTAGATTCCGATGGTAACTACAATCTATCGATTCTATAATATTACGATAATTGAAAGAAGTATTTTTGTGTATAATGTAGAAATGTGAGTTATTTTCATTGGAATTAAATAATAAATAAAACTACCATTATCATCATTATGATTTACATTAATGTGTACTTAGGTTGGTATTTTATACCTAATTACCATTGATTATAAGAAGTACAATATGAGTCGTGTGTGTAGCTCTTGCTCTTCCTCTCAATCGTTTGTTGTTTTTCAAAGGATATATTTTTGATGGTAATCATAAACACTACTAGAATAAACACTTTCTTGTTTAAATTTTTTATGTCTCAAGAAAGAATAACCGTAAATGCAAGATTGAAATATGTACTCAACTGTGTGATGTATTGGGGTTTGTCTCATCTCTCGTTCTGTTTCCTCATTGAAGAAAAACAGAATGGTAGATTTTTCCCCATTTAGTTGGTACCAATATACATATATCTGTTGTTATTTTTGAATTTATTTATTATTTATTATTATTAGCTTTATTCAATATTATATTTTTGATACAATATGTAATTCTCAGCACAAAGTACTTCAACAAGTTTCCGTTTCTTATTTCTTCGTCTTTCCCGACGATAAATATTGAGTGATCGCCGGTTAGAAGTTAGCAGCCCAGTCAATTGACATCTGGATAATGTACATTCTTCTCGCTGCATATTGCCAGCAAACACGATATCTCTAATTAGGTCTTCTATAACATTTACAGCGAAAAGTCTTACACTTTTCAGAAACGCGCCTGAATAGGTTGTGCGAATAATAGGCATAATGATGTATTAAAACAAACAAAATTAGATAACTTAATGAAATATCTAGATGACAGGAACAGTTAGCCCAGGTGTTTAAACAGGCCGCCAATTTAGTTGGTACCAATATACATATATCTGTTGTTATTTTTGAATCACTAGTAGGGGAGAGTTGAGGTAGACCAATAATAAAGGCATATAAATTAAATTCACACATAAACTAATCACGACTAGTGTGTAGTGAAAACGCGTGATCAGTTGGATCACAAGATGTGTGTGTGAGTAAAAAGCGATATATATATCAGCCTAAATTCAATGGATATTTTCTCTTAATTTATGGTTAGTTATACAGTATGAAAAATATTATAGTCTATTACTAGTTGTGAATGATATTCTAATTGATTGAGTTTTCTTTATTTTGTAGTTCCTTAGAAAGCTAACACAGGCTGTTGATTCATTGTGAACAGTAGATTTATCAGCTAGTAAAAAGTTTGTGTTAGTTCTTTGTAGATGATCATAGAATATATATTTTTAGTAAATGAACAGTACTACTTTTGACAGTTAGTTTAGACTGTTTCTTTAATGTATGCATGATAATAAGCTGATGATACACAGTTACGAGAAGAAACATTTTTCGCATTAATTTCTTGCAGTAGATATTACAAGCCATTATATGTGAAAGTTATATTTGGAATAATCTCAGCGATTGAAATTTAAATAATTCCGACGTTTCGTCCAACTAACTTGTCTGAACTTCTTCGGGGTAATAATTTTCACATATAATGACTTCTCTGTACTCGGCGCCCAATTTTTGTCAAGCTATTCGTTCTAATCTTGACGAATATTCGTATAAGATATTACAAGTATTGTTATAAAAAGTCGAAATCCAAGATATTATTAGCTCAATTAATGATAAGATGAACAAAAAATGGTATGACTCTTCATGATCATGACTGGTTTACGCTCTGATACTGTTACATTAAGGTTTTTACAATTGCAGAGAAATAAGAACTAACTATTATCATCTGCCTGAAACAATTTTGAAAATTGTCACATTTTTTGTTTCTGTATCGATTCAAGTTGTCTCATACTTCTAACGTGCAAACAGAGAAGAAATAATTTGCTTAGGAACAAAGCATAATTCATTTGTATCAGCCTAATTAGCGTTATCATCTGTAAATTTATATTGTGCAATGTCGTATCTTGTAATAATTAATAAAACAATGTACATTCGTGGATGCGCACTGCTGAGGAGTTCCATACTAGAAAGAAACGGTCATCCAGTGCTTCCAGGTTTTCAATGGTGGTCTAGCTTAAATTGACTCATGAATTAACTACTAAAACGTACATTCCGTCTTCTATTATGGATTACATTATTCTACTTTATAGGGATACATAAGTATTTAGTTAGTTGTTGTTAAAAAAAGAGTTACAAGTTAGTCAGTAAGTCGCAATATGGAATTTAGTACCTATATAAATCGGTTCAGTTCGTCATATTCTGGTTTCAAGTACAAACGGGGCATAAAATCTACCTTGGATACTGGTTTATATGACGGATGTGTTTAAGAGCTTTGTTTCACTACATACATAAGACTCATTGGTGTGTGTATTTTTCTCACTAACAATTCTGGTATCCACCGTAGTTATATTATTTTCATTATAAACCTAACGATCCATCTTAAATGGACGTTAATACCAAATTCTACGTACACTTTAAGTAGTTCACAATAAAACAGACGTGTTTCTACATGAACTATACTACGTTAAACACCACATACATACATATGTCTGGTATGGTTTTCAAACTGTAGGATCAATAACAAATATAAAGTGGCGGTTAGTTAAGAACAAAAATTAAGATTTCAAGACTGTCTGATGAATTACCGAACAGAATTTTAATGCTCATTCAGTACTTAACAACCTCTTCTGTATCATTCACACAAGAACTTTCCTGTTACCGGTGGATGCTTCAAGCTGACAGACGAGAACACATATAAATTTTGTTGGCTAAAATGTGAAACATGGATATAAGAGTGCTGGGAAATGTATTTCCAAAAAATAGCCAAAAGCGAGCTTTTTTTAAAGACATGATCACTACTTGGAATTTTAAAATCACAGTTGTCGCACTGGAACAGGCTCAAAGGAACTATTTTCCTGGTTAGCTAATTCTTGAAGACACATTAAAGATCAAAACAATTTCTCATGAATCACTGTCGATCAAACAAAGGGAACAAATTTTTTGTTTCGTTTCATCTTCTCAATAGTTATCGGGTAAGGACTAAATTAAAAGCTATTAGTACAAGTTCGGCTGAAACATATTTGTCAAGTTCACTCATTTTGTTAAATTCTCACGTTAATATTTCGATTTTTATATCTGGTATAGTTCACAACGAAATAGCACATCTCAAATATGTGTGGTATCAACTGAAGAATAGGGAAATGATTATAGATCTGATTATAGTAAGACTTTTTACTTGTTATCTTGGTGGAGTTTTGTTCTCTGAGCTAGATGGTTTGGTCGAGGAGCTTTCATTATTATTTTGAACATCAGCAGCACGAATTTCAGGTGCTGATGATGTTGTTTAAAGAATGATGAAAGCTTCACGACCAAACCATCCAGCTCAGAGGAGAAAATTCCCCCAAAATCATCCACCTGGGCAACAAATCTCCACCATATTTGTTATCTTATATTTATTTATCACAAAAATTACTCATTTTATGTTTTTTTATCTCTTTAATTCATAACAGAATGGTACATTAGTAATACCAAGTGAGAATCCTGAATGGCGGATACGATATACAAATTTAATGAATAGTTTTACAGAAAACAATGGAACACTCATTAAATTAGCTGAAAATGTTTTCGATGCTGGATTTACACGTCAAATTGATCATTTACTTGGGAGAAGACATATGCATTCACGTATCTATTTCGGCTATGAAAAACCGATTGCATCACCACAGAAATTTATTGACTAAAACGGAAACGAAACATTAAATATTTATATATAAAAATTCCATTACAGATCCCGATGAATATATCAATCGTATAATAATCCTTATCCAATAGGATATAAACAACTTTATTCTCATATACCTGTTCGCCTTTCACAATCTATTCTCATTTTTTGTATAATCGACTACATCCTCTCCACTGTATCTTGCTTATTCCTAATTGTTATCGTGTATAAAATTAATCTAACTAAAAGAGGACAGCACTCAATTTACTTTATTTTCATAAAGAAAAAGATAGAATACTCCACAGCACTATCAAATTAAAAGCCTAAATAATGGCAGGGACTTTAATAATGATAAATAATACAAGACTGTAAAAAAAAGAAATTTTTTTAATCATTTAGATATATACTGCTTATATGTATATATCATTCTCCTATTTATACATTGTACACACTTTATGGCAAATGTGCATATTACTTATAAACTAGCAAGTAGTTTATTTCTTATACATAAAATTATTTTTTACATTACAAATAACATCATACACACTCATTCCATAAACACATATATACAGATATAGTTGAGTATGTATGTGAAAAAAAGAACACAGGAAAAGACAATGTCTTTCGTTATTTCATTTAAATTGTATTTTTTGTCCGGAAATTATTTAATTCATCGGAGATATTGTCTTCATCATCATCATCATCGTCATCACTATGATTATTATTATTATTACTATAATCACCGCCACTATCACCTTCTGTGTAGCATTGTTCCTTTTTTATCTTAATGTCTGTATGGTTTTCGGATTTTTTAAATTGATTTATACTGTCTGTTAGTTTTTTCTTTAATCGCATTTCGTATAAATCTTTTTCATTTTCTAATTGTTTGATTTTTTCCCATTTCATTCTAAATATGGTAGAAATAATAAAAAAATAATAATGAGATCAAAAACTATTGAATAAGTAGTAAATGTTGAAAAGTTGTAAGTTCAAAGAAATTTCACTCATGAATCTGTTTATCTGAATAAGCAGACGAAAATAAGAAAAGAAAATAGTGGATTAATTTCGGAACCAATATAAATGATAAACTATTGACCCGTTCACGGTCAATCAATTATAAACAACCTTGGGTAGTATTTAATTTGTCAGACTAAATAAATAAGTACAGAAAACAAATAGTATTATTGATGGTGAGAATTAAACACACATGGATACAATCGCGGAATAGTCAGTATGGAACAGAGTTAATACTTGAAGGGAGATTTTTAAAAAATGAATGTGTATATGATCTTGTGACCAGTTTTGAACTACGTAGGCCTTCTAGCATAGAACACGGATTATAGGTTGAATTTCAATTAATGAATTTGTACATTTTAACGTGATTCAGTTCAATAGCTTCATGGATTAATTGTATGTTTTCGTTTGACCACCCCTAGGTCTGTCTTGTTTTAACCTGTTTCTCTTGTAGCTACACGAACTCACATCAGAGTAGTCAGTAGCTGAGGCTAAGCAACAAATACTACAACTACCTAGGTCAATGATTGTCTATATTCTCATCACTTTCTAACTATAACTATGGGCGCACCCTCAACATTACTAAACTCATGCTTTCATTATATATGAGCATGTTTTTAAGTTATCTACAATCTGTTAGGAAATGCATTAGCTCACTAAAGGTTCGACTCAAATTAGTTGGGATAAGCTGTTATTAATCTTCAAACCGTTTGGATGCAAGTCAGCGATAACAAATCCGGTTGCATCTACAATGGCTAACTCCTAAGAATACACTAAAACATCCCATAAATACGCTTTTCCCAATAAATAATCGTCATTTTGAATCGTAGTACAGCGTTTCCTTTCCTATATCTCCTCAATAATTTGGAACTGGGTTAAGAGTAACTGTGGGGGAGGACTGAAAGTTTAGTTGAGGATTGTATTGCGTTTTATCCAATGTTGAGTTGTTATTCCGAATATGATCAGACACTAGAAATCTAACCATATCGTCTGCCTCCAAAATTAGTTTTATTGGTTGAAAATGATAAATAACTAATTGCTTCAGGAAATATTCACACTTTGATAGACAGACGAACATATTACCTGTGCTACAGATAACCTAACATGACTAGAACCTATAATTTAGATAGGATATAGATAAAATGTGTGAATTAAATAAGTGGATAAGAATTACATTACAACATAAAGTATAAATCAGAAAACAGTGACACGACTCTATCCAATAAGAACATCAACGATTAACAATAATAGAGTTCTATATTCTGAAATGACATAAGTCTTCCAAAATAAACAAAATCCAAGAGTACTTAGGCGGATAAAGGAGTAATAAATATTGTTATCTTGTAATTACAGTTTTATTTATTTATTTAAACACATAGATATTGGTACAAAAAGCACCAGATAAATATGCACCTCACAAATCAAATGAGATTTGTGTGAGGGCTGTGATACTGCTCAGGTGCCCAGACTGAAGCAGGTGGTTTTCTTAGGGGGCCACACCTGGAGCCTTTGACCTAAAGGTCTGATCCGCAAGGCAGTGGAGCATCGTCAGGAGATGCAGTCCCATGGTAGCCGGTGACCAACAATTGGTTCATACGCCATTCGTTCCATCAGGATACTGGAGCCCATGTGCACCATTGGTTTGGAATCAGGGTTTTCCAACTCCCCTAGGTGGACACTCCATGTCCACCAACCCGGTTAAAGCGCCGGACATTCGCTTTTCGTCCTCTCACTTTCGTAAACAACACCCCCGCCACGAGAAGGCAGTGAGTAGGACTTCCCTGGGAGAGGCTATATACTCGCGTGGCCATGTGAGAGCATTTCGAGAGGGAGAGTGGACTCTCTCCACTCTCGGCCGTACCAGGGCATTTGGGGGCGTAATTACAGTAACCCAATACCTCTCTGTGAAATGTCATTTCATATGTATACATTATAATGTAATGGATAGAATGTTTAATCTAATAGATTCTATGATCTCTATCCTGTAGAGGTCACTCAAACCTCATAAAATCAAACAAGTTAATCGATTGTGTTCCAAAGTACTAAGTGAACTAAAGTAAATGCAAATTCATGACAAAAAACATGCATTTCTACACTTTTATTTAATAAACGATCTATTATTAGTCGTACACAGAATTGTTAAAAAGGATATATTTATAGAGAAGAGATTCTTTAAAATATACTTAATTGTTGACTCACCATAGTGTTTATGGTCAGGATGTGTTACGCGTGCCGAACCACGGTCTACCTCAATGAGTGATGTTATTTAGTGTAGAAGTAAACTGTAAGGAAATCAGAGACAGCCAAACTAAAGCATGACATTAGTCCATCAAGTCAATGACAGTTGAATCGAGTAATGATACTAGCAGTACACTATTTGGTTGGGGCCCACCTCATTATCATAACCAGTGGTCAGAGGCTTTCAATGACATGGTTCAAAATCGTTCTCAGTGGTGCAGGTGGATGCATTCTATGTCTTTCCTGCAACTCTGAGCTTATGGATTCACCATAACTTTTTGTGTTTTTATTTCAATAATTGATATTTTCTTTTCGAGTCGTATCTTCGATGCACAATCTTTTCTATTTCCATTGATACTGTTATTACCTCCACTATTTTAGAATTCGACCTGACATTTTGATCTCTGGGTGCTAATAGGATACGACAACTGGAATCCATGTGTATACGTGCCAGGTTTTACATTGAGACTAAGTGACTGACTTAGTGTTTATGAACTAAGGCGAAGTCAGTGTTTTCTTTTTTCGAAACACTTCAATTTATTCCATAAAATTCTTCAATGACACCATAGGTCACTTTCTTTATGATGAGGTCATAATCACTAATAATTACGTTGAAACTTTGGACTACATTGTTTCAAAGACAAGATAAATTATTTATTTAAAGGGAATGATTTTCTAGATAAATTTTAGATGATTTACACTGGTGGTTACATATATTTAGATATTTGATGCTTATTTATTTATTTGAACACATAAATATTAGTACCAGGGGGCACCAGACATATATGCGCCACACAAAATGAGGATGGGAAGAGAAAAGGAAGATAAGGTGCATATAAAAAGAGAACAATAACAACCACAGATTAGTGTACGTTAGTGTAATAATAAGAATAATAATGGGGAAAACGGAAAGATACAACCAGAAGAATCCTTTTAGTTAAGGAAGCTACAACCACTTTTCATGAAGAAAGTGAAGGAAGGTTACAGCAGGATCGTCACTGGCTTCTATTCTGAGTCATGTCTGATAACGTCTCTAGCCATTGTGTTGCACCATCTCTCAGACCCCAGCCAGGGAGTTGTGAAGGACCAACAGAAGCCAGCCCTTTGCAGATTTATTTCATACCACGAATGACACCATGTCACAAATTAATAACACTTTAATTGTATCTCTAGTATCACATGAGTTAATACTCACCAAACTAATGGTTTTAGGAAAAACAAACGTCGCAACATTTAACCTCATGAGTTGAAACTACTTATTAGTAAGATAAGGGATTGAAACAAAAACTAATAGGTCATGAGACTTGTAACAGATTGTTGGATGATATTGTGGTGTATGCTAATTATTTCGATAGACGTAAGTAGTATGTAACACCAATCGGTAGTGGAAAGCATGGCAAGATAAGGCTAAGAAGATCAAGTGAAAGAATAAAAAACGAAATAGAAAAGAATTGTGATTAGGAAAGAATCATATAGACTGTGAAGGACAAATGATGGAAATTTGCAAATGAAGTATTCAATGTATGGTTCTGATATTTTACCAAGATATTCTGTAATTTCGTAATAAAATACAGTTGGTTGTTTCTATCTGTATTCTCGTTCACAACTATATGACTTAGAATCAATCATAATAGCGCATATGAATTTTATATTTATCGTTCCTTATATCATGGGGTAAAAATTATTCCATACTCTTTATTCAGTGAATTTATTCCTTCTTTTCGGATCTCATTGTTTATGCCTAATTATTTCTATTACCATTGATGTTTTCGCTATTTCTACTACCCTGACGGTTGTTATCGTAATTCCATTTCACTATGCTAACATAGTATGGTGGCAACTTGAACCAGTGCATATAAGTGCACGCTTCTATGTCACGTATGACTGATCCATGGAATCTGATCCTTGAATTTTAGCTAAACAAATCTCAAAAGGTAAACATCACAAAACAAAAATGTGGGATTTAGAAATCAGGGTACTTTGTGGCTTGATCTTGACAGTTTTTGGTAGTAGATAACGTTAAAATCCATAATAAAGTGTGAAATATACTGCTGTAAAATTAAGGAAATTTAGAGATCCAGTAGCTATTAATTAAAACTTTCCGAGAAATACGGTAACTTTTGGTGAGTAATAGCAACCGGTTAACAAAATTGAAGTAGGTGGGATAGGGTTCGTATCTGAGACTTAATGGTTAAACATCGAATACTTTATCGCTGAGCCATCCACCTGCTTTTGCAATCATGATCACAGAAAACGGTCTTAAATTGATGTTAGTCATTAGTCATCTACAACATGGGATCCGACACATATATGCATCGGTCCAAGTCACCATACCTCATTAGCACAAAGAGATGAACACTAAATTCATAGCAGCAGTTACTTCAGTGGTAGTAATATATAAAAGAAGTTTGCATATAAGGATATGATACAGGGAAAAAGAATTACTTAGTAAAAAGAAAGGTATAAAGTAATTTTAATATCACGGTTTAAGGGAAGATAAAAAGTGTATACACCTACACCATTATGATCGATTCTGAGCCATATCACACAGTCTTCAAACACTAGTAACGATAGTCGCGCGAACCCCAACCAAGTAGTCTGCATCTACCAACATAGTTCAGACCTGTAGTTAGTGACTTTATGGACTGATGAGACGTTTTGGTTTGGCCGCCCCTAACTCTCTTCCAATCATCCCCAACACTAGTCAGCCCGACCACAACGTTTAAGTAGCAGCAACGGTCAGGAAATTGATGAGATTGATATTCACAAAATTTCATACATTTGTGAGATAAAAGTTGACTAATTGAGTAAGATAAAAAGTGATTCAGGAGTCAATAGTGGATAGATGTTGGGTTAAGATCGATTACTTATCGACATCCAATCAAATAGGTAACAAATACAATAGAGAGAAAATTATTAAAAATTTCACTATCACAAAATCTCAATACAGTTTGATACTACTTAATCAATTTCTTTCTAAGAAACAATTCAAGAAATCCAATTTTTATTGTTAAAACAAGTTGACTTACATTTGTTCATTTATCTCAGCTAAATTTCGTTCAGATACTGATGCTTCACTTTCTTTTTCCATGATTTCTTCTGAGTGCTGAAAAATATTCATTTATCAGTAGTTAAGGTAATAATAATAATAATAATAATAATAATAATAATAATAATAATAATAATAATAATAATAATAATAATAGAAATATTCAGCTTTTAATACGTATCGAAATTTGAAGCATGCGGATATAGTTTGGCTAGGTTTTTTTAATGCCCCGTAAATCAGAACAGATATACTTATTGTTTGAATTCAAGGTAAAGCATGGCATGTATAGATAAGCCAAGAGGATTCGACTTTTAAAAAATCTGATTTTCGATTAAAATTAATCATAGTTCAATCGGCTATCTTGTTTATTAAGTAAATTAATATCATATGACAACATATTTGATATTTCACTAGTTGGAGGGAGGGGATTTCGATGGTGAACAAGGTGATCTCAAGTGCTGTTAAAGGTATGAGGGAGGTTCTTACTTCCCGATTGTCCACACACTGAAAAGATACTTCTTCTTGAGGGATCTGAACAAAAAATTTGGTTAAGGGTGTTCTTGACAGCTGGAAAGTGTGGCTCGATAGATTAAAGGAGAGCTACTTGGAGCAGACCATATATGGCCTTTATAAAGTGGTTTTTTGAGGTGTTAGTCATTCGGCAAGCTAAGATTTGCTATTTTAAGGCTGGAGTTTTCAAAACCCCTCTTTCCGTCGTGGGAAGGTAGAGTCATTGCAGATGATGGTTATCTGAAGGAAACATCTTACATCATGTTACTATACTACTCGTGGTACGATTTTATCATCAGGTTTGAGTTTGCTGCCTTTAAACTTACTGCTCACTAAACGACCTCCCTGACATGGTAGGATCTGAAGGAGTGTTCAACTTAATATAGTTCGACTGGGTCATTACGATATTCAAGCTCGACAGCCACATTAAGGTAGCATATACGATCGGGCAATCAAAAGAAAGGTGTACTTGAATTATTTTCTTAACATAACTCAGAAATCAAGCACAAGTTCATGTATTTGGCTTTGACCTACAGTTCCTCATGTGAAGAATAGTAATAGAAATCAGTTCCTGTTGCTACATATGGACAACCACCTCTTACTTCAATGCATAATTTTGGGAGAACTAAGAGTAAGTTGCAAGAATATACTGTAAACGAACGATTTCTCCTAGCCCACCTGTCTGCTGTCCTGTACAATTTCTATGGGTTTTTATAATAATTAACGACACAAACATAACTTCTCTATGATTTGTCAGACAGTATAGGATTAAGGATTGAAGGGGAAGATATACGGGAGAGTGTATTAGTATGAACAAATGGCTTAAAGACAGTCAATTAGTTACCAACTCTCACACAAATCAAATGAGATTTGTGCGGCGCATATATGTCGGGTGCCCCAAATAAATAAATAAATAAAATACCAACCACCAGATGACTAAAATTCTAATGCACAAAAAAGTAGAATATCGACGGTACAAAGTTCTAATAATTTATAAAATTAATAGGACGGGTGGATGTGAAATCATCACTTTCCTGCGTTCACACACCATTTTAATGTCAAATGGTAAGCAAGGTCTTATAAACAAACCACGCCATTGGAGGAATTCGACTACAAACTCACTCAAACTTTCAGCCTACATGTTCTTGCCCAAGCCAAAAAGATAATTACATTATATATACAGAGAGAAAGAGAGAGTGTATATTATAATTCGATTTGGTAATTAAACCTTATTTCGGTCCTCTTATTTGTGTAGTGAACTTGGTTTATCATAGGAAGTGTACATTGTATCACTAAAAAGGTGACTATATACATATGAACGATCACTAATACTAAAGGATAAACGATACCCCAGTTATCACTACAATAAAATTCAAGAGTATTCCATGAATTCGATGTATGGTATTAAAAGTAAGTGTGATCGGTTGCTGATTGTGGGCAAAGAGGCACTCAACTTACTGACTACTAAATATGTGATTTCATTTCCTCTTATTGACTTTTACTCTGGACTCACTGAGTGACTGCTTGCAATTGTGTAGAAGAAAGTATTGTTTAGTCTATACTTTGGTGCTCTATAATTAGTAGTGAATGGGTATCTGATATGACATGATCTGGTCTGTGTATAGCTGATCGTTCGAGTACCAAATCTAGCGGTATTATACACTCGCTTATCCGCTCACCATATATTATCATAGTACAGTAACATCTCGTGCGAGGAAGAAAAATATGTTATATTCTCTAAATACATAAGTTAATAGGGGTAAGAAGTAGATCATCTCAATGATTTCAGTACTAGACTTATAGACAATACGTTACAGCCTTAAAACGATGGCTTAGGAATAAGAGCGGTAAACTACTGGATTGAGGTTAAAATCTCACTCAATCTACATAACTTATGCTGGAAATTCCAGTAATAGTACTAACCACCACCAAACAGTAAGTGCAGTTCACAGCTGAGCAAACAAACTTATACCTGATGATACAGTTGTATTTATTATGGATGAGTAGACATCACAGTGAAAAGTACCAAATTACCTTTTCCAGAGTAACCATTTCTTTTTGAAAAAGTTCCAACTCTTCCGCCATTTTATCCTTATATGGAACACATCGAACCTATAAAACAAAAAAGTGGAATTGCCGCCATGAAAAATCATTTTTATCATAGTGTCGTACTTTTGCATCTTTATATCGGTCGTCAAAGAAACCTTCAGGGAGTTGAGATTGTGATTCTATTTTTCTCTCTGCAGGATTTTTTTCACATATCTTTCCACTGGAAATTAACGTTGGTAAGTCATTGTGTTGGTTAGCATCCGAATTTTTCTCGTCTGACTTAACCTGTACATATGGAAATATACATCACAGACATTTCCACACACCTACCTTGTTTTCAACCTTTGTCAATTTACAGGTTACCTCGTCAATTGTTCTGGTTCCCGTGGCAGGACGTTTAGTAGGCAATTGGACCCCACGTAGTTCGTTCTGTAATAATTTTTTTCGAAAAATAAAGACGAAAACAACACACACTTGTTTATGTGACTTGCTGAGTATATGTGCAGTCCAAGCAAATTCTGATTTGATTTGCACACCACATAAAATACATGATATTCGACCGAGTTGATTATATCTCGCATGAGGATGATCAATGGTCCGTTGAGCTTGTGGCTTTGTAGCTCTAATCAATTGACGAATATCTGATTTAGGAATGATATTAACATCGTTTGACCTTTTATTATTCATTGAAGAAAGGGAGAGCTGCAATTACGAAAGAATGTTATATGGTTTTTCTGAAAAAAAGAGAAGTGGTTAGAACCATTTAAGCCAAAGGTGATTTAAATAATTCCGAATTATTTGTGAATAATTGTTACTGGATAACCAACTTAACGTTGACCTAACCATTGACAAAACGTTCACGTTTTATTTTGTTGAGAAGTATGAATTTGCTGTGATCTGAATTTCTATTTTCGAGTGATGCGTCAAGTTAGGAAGCCAACAGTATACTAGCTAATGTGGTAACCGTATTTATTTTTTTCATTTATTTTATCCCATCTAATTTATATTAAATGGATTAACCAGAGGTACATAGGTTTATACCAAATGTTTAGTCATGTTTTTTAGTTGTGCTATGGTTTCTAAGGGGAGTGATGCATGCAATGAGAACGTTGGTAGTACAAAATAAAGAATATTTGGTGGTATGAATGAAGGTAATACACAAAAGTACAGATATGTTGTAGTCGTAAAACCGTTGTCTGATTTCACAAACAAGTTGAAGAAAATTACTCATCCCAAATCAATGTTACGTAACGTATATTTTGCCTCAACAGATGAAAAATAGTCACGCACTTTTGCATTGGTCTTAAAGAGACATGAACGAACAATATATTACTCGGTGAGACTAGTCGAAGGAAAACAAACCTAGTTTTTCAGTGTGACCGGTACCATAGTAAACATTTAGAAAGTTTTTGAGGGATTTGTTAAATAGTGAGAATACCCCGTTTCTGAGTGAATTCTCTAGCTGAGACTTGCTATCAAAGTTTGTGCATATTTCAGAGTAATTATATATTTAACTCATTCGACAATCTTTCCTTAAGAGTTGTTACGAAATAAAACTTGGGATTTATTTATTGGGAGAAGAGGGATTATAAGGAATATGACAGATTAAATATAAACCATATGCTACACACGGACAACTCCCATTCGTTTATTATCTGGTAGAACGAGCAGCAAGGAGGCTAGTGCTGACGCTCAGAAAGAAAAACATAAAACTCTACGCCTTGTTATTGTTTAAAAACAGATGAGGAGTGGGGTTTTTCAAAAACTTTACTAGTTACTAGGTAGACGATATGGAACTGTCTCAAACAATATAGAGTCAATAACTAAGATGATACAAACTATTATCCAAGTGCAGACTAATGGCTGCAGAGATGGACTTCGAATGAACAACACCATAATTTGAGTTGAGTGTTAATTCAAGCTGTATGAGACGAATGTGATCTAGTCAGGCACTTTTACATGACATAAGTGAGACTACAACTTATCCACGTCTTCAGAGCAACGTTAAATTGACCTTGAGCATGAACACACAACCTTTTAAACTTGAGGAAGTGTGGAAATTTTTTGGGTTTATATCTTATGTCCTTATATTTTTTCATTGAAACTGCACAAAAATTGGTACATTTTCTCCAGAAATCGAGAGATTGGTCGTCTACATTCTAAGGTCAAACGAGAATTATAAGTCGCTGTGAGTTGTCAGGAATATAGTCAACAGACATAATTTAGGTTCAGGAATAAGATTCAGGGTTTTCATCATGAACTGGCATTAACTATAACGTCAAGATGGTATCTGGCCGAATGAATGGGTGAGTTTCACAAAAAATCAAAGACTTACAATCTTAGACTAAATTGTCTTGTTTACAAGTTAAAGCTCGTTAGCTTTGCATCCAGAGAGTATTGTTTGGACTATCCTTTCTAATAAATGAACGTCAAATATGCGGAGATAGCCCTAAAGGACCTTGAGGAACAGTTAAGGTTTATATTTCGCGCTACATCAGTGCAAGAAATGAAACTCTAAATGGTTCAAATGGTTGAGGACAGAATAGAAGAAGCTTTCGCTTAACGGGCTTCCGTGTCTGGTAGCAGTGGATCACCAATACCTCCAGGCAAGAACCTAGGTATATGAACGATAATAGAGGGAAAAAAAGAATTTGGTAAATCATAATAATATGTTATCCTTAGTCCTTAAGAATAAGTCAAGTTTCCTCATAAAGGACTCATGGGAGGTCGCTTGGACTAGCTCAGTCGGCAGCGAATTCCAGCACTTGACAACTCTAACGGAGTAGAAGTTGTGTCTGCAGTCTGTTCTGCTATGTAGGGTCTCCAATTTCTGGGTGTTACCTCTGAGGTTAGTGTTATGACTAGGCTTAAGAAGTTGTTTAAGGGGATGACCAGAAGTATTAAGAATACTATAAGTCATAAGAAAATCACCTCTAAGACGCCTATACTCTAACGGGTAAAGGTTAAGTGATTTGAGGCGCTCTTCATAAGGTTTGAATTTGAGACCCCGAACTGATTTCGTGGCTCGACGTTGTGTGCGTTTCAGAGTGACCTTATCCTTTTGGAGGGAGGGAGTAAATACTATGTTTCCGTACTCTAAGTGGGACGAATAAAACTGTTGAAGATTATATGGAAGGTTCTATCGTCAAACTGGCCAAAAATGCGCTTCAATGTTATCAGTGCAAGGTTTGCTTGAGAGGCGTTTTTGTCACAGTTCGCATACGATTTCAGGTCGTAGGGTACCAACACTCCTAAATCTTTTTCAACTTGGGAAACTTCTAGAGGTGAGTTACCTAAGTTATAACTATAGTCTGCACCATGTCTCAGATGGACTACCTTGCACTTTGAAGTGTTGAAGGTAAGTCCGTTGTCGTCTGCCCAACTTTGAAGTCGAGCCAGATCCTCCTGAAGAACTAGTATATCATTGTCAGTACATATCTCTCTCCAAAGTTTCACATCATCAGCAAAAAGCAATAAATCAGATGAAACTTGTTGAGGAAGATCATTAATATAAATCAAGAAGAGAAGAGGTCCTAGTATTGGACCCTGGGGGACCCCACTAGGACATTCCATAGCCTGAGAGAGAGTGAAGTTAACCCTGACCTTAAAGTGTCGGTTTTCTAAATATGAAGAGAGCCAATCAATTAAAAGGGGTTTTATACCCAATCGTCCAAGCTTCTTGATAAGACATGCATGGTTGACCCTATCAAAAGCTTTTGAGAAGTTCAGGTAGATGACGTCAACCTTCCCCTTGCGATCAAGGATGGTTGTCCATCTATCCACCGCAGTCAGCAGGTTGGTCATACAAGAATGACCTTTTCTGAAACCATGCTGTTGAGGCGAGAGGAACTTTGGGGATGATAAGTGTTCTAGTATGCCATCGAATACTAGGGATTCCATAATTTTTGAAGGTATGGAGGGAAGGGCCACTGGTCGGTAGCTTGAGGGTTCACTGCGTCGACCTCCTTTGAAAATTGGTGTGATGTGGGCCAGCTTCCATATTTCCGGTAGTTTGCCTCTGCTTAGCGAGTGTGCAAACATCACGCTAAGTGGTGTCGCCAGGATTGAAGCTGCTTCCCTCAATACAGCGGAATGAACCATGTTCGGACCAGGAGAAGTGTCTTTTCTTAGGTTCTGCAGTTTACGGAGCACCAGGTCAGCACTCAGGTCCACTTCGGAAAGTCCTGTACAGGTGCAGGTGAAGCTTTCTTCAGTATGGTTGATGTGGGTCAGCTGGAATGTCCGGGAGTAATGTTCAGCCAAAAGGTTAGCGGCATCACTGTCGTTATTGGTCGGGCCATTAGGACCAAGCAGTTGGGAAACTCCAGTTTTGCCTTGTCGAAGAGAAGCTGCATAACTGAACAAGCTTTTCGGATTGGAGACGAATCTATCGATAAGCTTGGTCTGGAACTGAAGCCTGTCTTCTCTTATTGCCTTTGTGCATATGTTCCTTATATGTTTGTATTGCCTGTACGCGCCGTTGTTATCAGTTCGTTTATATTCAGCCCAACAGTGCCTTTTGCGGCTTAGCAAACGACAAGTGCGGTTCTTGATGATTGCAGGTTGCTTGTAGCTTTTTGGGACCATTTGAGGAACTGAATGCTCAGTAGCACATAAGATCGTGTGCAGTAAAAAATCCCAATGAGCATCCACTTCAATTTGAGGGTGAACATCCCAATCCACCTGTTGTAGATAGTCCTGTAAAGCTAACACATTCAACCGTTTGAAGTTCCAGCGCTTGTTGCTAGTAGGATATCGTAGCTCCGTCTTGCTGACAAAGCTGAATGATAAGACGGCGTGATCACTTTTCCCCAGGGGAGCCAGGATTGAGAGGTCGTCAACTAGGAATTCTTCGTTTGTGAATACCCAGTCTAAGCGTGACGGCGTCTGACTGTTTCTCCAACGGGTTGCCGACTTAACATTTTCAAATAATCCCAGGTCGCCGATAAGGTTGAAGAACAGAGCTTCAGTGGAGTTGGCACCACCAATGTATGTATGTTCCACGAAGTTGATTCTAGGGAGATTGAAATCCCCTAGAATCAGGACATGAGAGAATCCGAGACGCGTAGAGCGAGTTAATCCTTCCAGCAGACGTTTGTCATATTCGTTGTCGGCAGTGGGCTTCCTGTAAACGACCCCAACTAGGCACCTCGAGGTGGTAGATAATCTTACTGAGCACCATACTGACTCGTCAAGATTGTGAAACTCTTGGTTGTGAAGTTGGTGCGCATCCAGGCATGACTGTACGTATAGTGCTACCCCCCCATTCCTATTTTTCTGTCGTTGCGAAATAAAGACATCCCAGTTATTGCTAACTCTTGGTCCGTAAACTGAGACGTTATCCAAGTTTCGGATATTCCTATCAGATGGGCATCATTAGCGTTGCTAAGTTCACGTAGCTCATCCATTTTGTTTGGCAAGCTCGCGGCGTTCGTGTATAGGCAGTTTATGCTTTCAATTTGGAACGCGTGAGCCTCTTCTTGTTTGTCTATATGAGCCGTGTGTGAGTGGACAGGTAGCCTACCTATACGATGTTTACCGAGTTGGTAGTCCCTGTCCTTTACACGTTTTTTTATGATCAAGACAGTCAGCTCCAGCTTTCGTTTGTGCTTGATCCTGCTGTCGTGGGGCCTATCCGGATGCATATGGATGCCAGTTGACTTGGACGATTTGATCTTGGTTTTCGAACTTTCTTCGAATGTCCTCTCAAGTGATCGGAGGAAAAGATAAGACATATTAATACCAAGGTCATCGTTCAGTATACGATAAGTCAATATTAGATAATAAGATAATAAGATCACTCCGTATCTACGGTAAGATAACGGAAATAATTTGAGGGATCTCATTCTGTCTTCATAAGATAGACCAGATAGTATTTTACCATTTTAGTCCTTCGGCGTTGGACTCGTTCCAGCATATCCGTCTCATACTTGAAACAAAGATTCGCTGCTTGAAACCCATATTCCGAATGCGGTCGCACAGAAGTCGGGTATAATAATCTAAATATTTCTTCAGTTAAATACTGAAAAGACCTACGAGCAGCCCATAATACCCTGTAGCCTTTTGCAGCAGCGGCCTTACATTTACTAGGAATTTTGAGATCACTGCCTAGCATGACTCCAAAAACGTTATGGTTTCTTACTTTGCGTAACACCAATCCAGATATTATGTAGTGATGCAAATCATAAGATTTGTTTAACTGCATCACCACACTCCTGTTAGGATTCACTTCTGGTGATCATCCGCCCATCCATGCCACCAATGAGTCGAGATCATCCTGTAGTACCGTTCTATCCGACATGCTGTAAAAGGGTCTCATCTATATGTCATCGGCAAAGAGTAGAACAGACGACTTAGCTACAGTTGGTAATTCATTTAGATAAAGTAAAAAGAAAAGAAAGCCGAGGGTTGTGTCTCGTGGAACTCGATTTTTTACGGGTTCCTGCGATGAGAGAGCTCCATCTACTCTTACCCATTGTCTTCTGTCATGGAGAAAGTCACTTATCTATTCCATGACCTTATATTTCTGATTTTCCTTACTTATTTATTATTATTTTTTAAACTATTCGTTTGTCTCAAAAGTCTATAACCATTACACTATTATGATCATAGTTGGACCCTTTCACTATGTGTTCGTTTACCTTCTCTCTCTCCTTTTTTTCTTCTAAATAAATATTATTCTTAAGATTACGAAGTTTTGGATTAAGACAATAACTTGAGGTACGCTGAATTCAACTTATCAGACTTGTTTTATCTTCACTATTATTATTATTAATGGCTTTATTCAATATTATAATCTGGTACAATATAGAATTCTCAGTACGAGTTATTTGAACAAGTTTTTTTACCAAAAAAAGAACAAACAAAAAATACAGAAAAGGAATGAAAAAGATTTAAGAAAAACTGAGTTCATACAAATTATTAGATTTGAAACATGCCTAAGAATACAGGTTATTTACTAGGTCAACTCTAACAGCCTGTTCGTCACAAAGTAAATTTGCTAAGTAAGGTATTATAGAACTTTTATAGACTTGCTTGCGTGTATGGATTTTAATGTATTTGCGTCTCGTTCTACCAGAAGATATACAAGGAGAAAGATATGAATGAAGTGGATGGTTAGTATCTGATAAGATAACACCTGTCAAGAGTTTGCAAGACTTAAGATGTCTATCCACAAGCATATTAATAATGACTTCAAAAGATTCACCACATACCTTGCAGAGACATATCAAACAATATGGCTATAGGTTCATCAATTATATCTGATAGGGTTTTCATAATCCTAGAATGAATATAACTAGGCCCAATGAACTTATCACGTTTGAGATGCTGGAGTAGTCTTGTAGAACATCAACGTTGATGGTCTATGTCGAAATGATTGAAGGGGCCTACTAGCGTTAGACGAGAATGGTGACGAACCAACTAACGCTTAAGTCACACCTCGCGACCAGCACCTTACGTGGATTGCCCCCATCGACGTAACAAGGGACTATGGACGTTATGGAGAC